TGTTTTTAATCTATCTTCATTTTATGTGCATGAGTGGTTTGCCTGCATGTATGTTACACATGTTGTGCAACACCTGCAAAGACCAGAGGGTGTTGAATCCCCTTGAGCCGGAGTCACAGATGGTTGTTAGCCAAGTGGGTGAGAACTGAACCCTGGTCCTCTGCAAGAGCGGCCAGCGCTCTTAGTTGCTGAGCCATCTTTTCAGCCCAGAGGAAGAATCTTGACACTAACTTTGGACTTACACACACACACACACACGCACACCCATACACAAATGTACACCCGCATACATGTGAACATGTATGTACATATGTACACATCACACACATGAATAAAAAAGCCAGCTAAAACATGTAACAGATAATTGACATTTATTGTGCAATTTTATCCCCAACAGAACATGTGGCATTCTAGAGGTCTAGAGGTATATGAGGTAAGAAAATCAATATTCCAATTAGAACACCTGAAATAATTGGCTCTAGTAACAAATGTCTCTTATAATTAAAAATATTGAATGTTTAAAAAACTCTTATAACATTTTAAGTTTCTAAAAGAAATGTGCCTAACACTTAAAAAACAACTACTCTGCTATATAAATTGTCCACAATTTTTTTTTTGCTATTCTATATTATACTATGCATTTGTAGTTTTATTAACATATCCCTAGTGGGTAGTAACTCTACACAGTACAATCAAATAGAAATTATTCAGAGAAGCCACAAGACTCCAACAATAAAAATATTAGGATCAATGGATTCGTCACAGTTTCTCCACAAGTATTCATCATAGAAAATAGAGTAAAGGCAACTGGCCCCAGTGTTAGCTGCTACACGACGTTCTGGAGAGGAGAGACATGAAGGCGAGGCTTAAACTGGGCAGGACCAGAGACTGTTTCCTGGCCTGCCTCTGGCATACCTTGCTCCCAAGAGACACAAACCAGGCCCCTTGTGGCTTTGGTATGCTCTTGAAGGATGTTAAAAGTCAAAACTACAGGAAAAAAAAAAAAACCCCAAAACACCAACAGATTACTATATTCATCTACAAAATCTCAACAGTTCTCACAGTGACACTGTCAGTTAAAACCCTCTGTTCCAACTAAACCAGAAGTGTCACCCAGGAAGCTACAAAACAGCCACATGGAGACTCTGAAGAATGGCTGAAACCCAGTGCCCTTCCTAGGCATTCCCAAATATGACTGCCTCACAAAATTCAATGTTTTCTTTTATATCCCTGCATGTTTGTACAGGGAACCTATAAAACAAATGGGAAGGAGCTAGATTTCTAATTGTATCCACTTTAAGACGCTTCTGGTCTCCCTCACATGATCTGGCACAGGTCAAGCCTCACACTGGCTCCAGGAGTTCTGGGGGCTGTGTTTCATATGATCACTGTTTAAACATTTGCTATTTCCAAGTAGGATTTTAGTGACACAAATATCAACTTTCCTCAAAGGTATCAGTAAAACAAAAACTTCACTCCAAAGTGTTGGTAGACTTTGGGAACTGTGCTTGCTTGGGGGAGAACTGAACTGGCCCTTCTACTTACTAAGCCCTGGGCAGTTTCCTTATCCGTAAGAGGGAGCTAACAGAAACAGCTCTTAGGGTGGTTGTGAAGGTGAAAACGAGAGGATGCATTAAAGTGCTTACTAAAGCAAGTGGCACATCAGAGTTACACTTACTCATTAGCTGTAGTTAACTATTGCCAGAATAGTAAGCGATTTTCAATGGGCCCAAATCATTTTGCAACAGGTTGAGATACATCTGGCCACCACTTGTACAATTCTGAGAATGACCAGGTTTTCGAATGCGTCTCACTAGCAGATGTTTTTTTCATTGCAATTGGGGGAATTGTGATTCAACTAAAAGCATAGCCCTTATATTGGCCTTCCAAATGTTTAGAAGGAAAATTAATTTGGTCCCATTGCTGCTGAGATTTTGGTAATTCACTGCTTTCAACAGTTAAACTGCCTGCAAGAATTTCAGGCCTCTCAATCTTTCCTGCAGTTCAATATGCCATGGGAAGTGAAAGTGGTTTAATGTGTGAATGTATGAGTAAAAGTTTAAAACTTTATGTTGAGAAGACAAGCGGTGCTTCAGTATTATTTTTGCCCTTCATGTTGCTGATGTCAAGTCTTCCTTTTCTAAAACACCATAAATAAAAGAACAAATGCCCTTGGCTGATAAAGCGAGCAGCTTTCCCATCAGCTAAGGGACATTTCCCTCCAGTGCTTCAAGTGAAGTGGTTATTTTTATCCAGTACTTACTTGACTGAAAGAAGCCATCACTGTGTTTACAAAAATACATCATAATGACACATACTGCTGTTTCAACACATTTACATTAGAGTTCTGACTCAAGCATTCCATTTGACATGTTTTGCCAGGCGGTTTTGGCAAGTGTTGCCACATTAAACATACTTCAACACGACTTGCACTATATGTGAAAAACCATTTTCTATTACATTTCTACAAATCCGAATGTAAAAACTGCCAAAAACTAACACAGACCTATACCATGAAATGACACAGCACTGACTGGGGAAATTATACATTTAAATCTTTTCTAAAAGAGAAGTTATCTAAAAATCACCTTTAAGAAAAAGGTAACTGAAATTTATACAGAAACTAAAGAGGTAGTCAAGAGTCGGGTTAGGTCTAGAGCACATACTGAATTACAGAATCCAAATAAGGGCTGCCAGATCCTGGATTTGGTCCCCCATACTAAAAAAAAAAAAAAAAAAAAAAGATTTTGAATGAAGACAATGTATGTTTGCACTCTGGACATAGTGCACATCTTTTTTGTGGTGCTCCATCCATTTTCTAAGTGACAGAAAGGAGACACAAGTCACTAAATGGTAGGGACAGAGAAATCACAAACCTACAGATTCCCAAGTTTGAGTTATTATCTGCATTTCGTGTAAACATGTAATATTTGAAGAATAATTACTTGACTACAAAACCCATTCGACTGCCACCAGTGACCTGATGCCACAGAGAATGGCTGTGTTAAATAAGAATGTAATAACATGTCTCCTTATCATCCCAATGAAGGCCTCTCCTCTATCAGTGCATATCACTGATGAAGGGATAAGGAAATGATCCACAATACAAGCCACCTACTGACTCTGCAGTCCCACGCTACCTCCTACTTTCCTAGTGATGTCTCAGGAAAATACAAAAGGGTGACACTCACCTAAATGCTATGATGGAATGAGGAACGCCAAAGGAATGTGATGTCCAGGGTTAATTGCTGGAGAAAACACTTTCAAGCAAAAAAGGAAGCTAAAAATTATGTTTCATATTTTTTTCAAAACCATGAGACACTGTACAGCACATGATTCAAAGGGACAGTAAGAAATATGGCCTTTTCAACTGCTTGCAGAGCATCACTCCCCACAGCTTCCTGGCCCAAGTCCTCTGACACAGGCCACTGCAGGGGCATCCTCAGTTTGCCAAGATCTGCACCGAGATCAGACCACTGTAAGAATCAGGCACTTTAATTTGGAGACGACAGAGCACATCATGACAATGTTACTTTTAACTACGGCCCTTCTGATAGCTGGGACAGTAGGCTCCCCTAATCACTCACAAAAATGTCATAGTTACACCGTGGCCACACCAACCTAACAACTGCCTTTTCTCGCCAATTAAGTGGACATAGCTGCATCTGAGTTGTTTTAGTTCAGTCTACCTCACACCAGTGTTAAATGACTTGAGAGTTAACAGAAGACTAAGTTTTGTGGTTGCCCAACAGATGTGGAAAATCAAACCAAGCTGATAAAGGACATCCTAGACTGTTCCAGACATCAACTGAAAGGCTCCCAGAGAAACCAGGGCAACCAATCTTAGATGGTGAGCTCCGAATCCCTGCCAGAGGCTGCAGAGATTTAAAACTCGGGTGACCATGTAGGAAACCACCATAAAGCAAGTAACACTCCAGCCTTAAATGGATATATGCTAAGGAGAAGAGTCAGCAAAGTATCTGAGAGTTTGCACCAGTCCAAGTGGCTACTGGTACTGGGATCAGCTGGTAAACTAGGCTAAATAAATATGGCAATTACATAAACAGAGGCAGGAGAAATGGAACACCTGACTTGGGCTGAGGACTGCAGGTCTGAGGACAGCAGCTACATTAGAACTGGCTGTGGGGATGAGAAGCTCAGCTCTGTGGGCCTTGGTTTCCTCATGTGAAGACAGCCAATTATTAGTTTCAACATTTCAGAATTGGTGATATGCTGGAAAACTGCTGATAGAAGGACAATGAGTGGGAGAGGGGAACAGGTGAGCCCCAGGAGCAGAGGTGGTGTGCACAGCCGAACAGAAGCCGTCTCAAATGGCACAACAGCCAGTCCCCTGGTCCCCTCTCACAGCTGTGGTGTGGACATATCATTGTCAAAGCCATTGGAGTTAGTGCACAAAGTGCTCGAGTGAAGACCAGCACACAGGGCTCAAGATGACACTCAGATGAAGAGAAATGTGCAGAACCCTGAAACTTACAGGAAAATAATACAGGCTCTAAGCCTGTTTTTCCTAAAAGCAGTCAAAAATACTGTTGCTACAGCAAAAAGGACAACTAATCATCAAAAAAATGGAAGCCCAGAGCAGAAGGTCAGTCAGATGGGAAAGAGAGATGAGGAGATGCTGGTGTTCTGCCCAAAACTTTATGGCACTGAAGAATTTCATAAGACAAGCATCCTAGACCTCAAATCACACATCAAGAAATATCCTTCTTTCTTGGACAGTTATAGATATTGGTCTCAGCCAGGCATGGTGGCGCATGCCTTTAACCCCAGCACTTGGGAGGTAGAGGCAGGTGGATCTCTCTGTTGAGTTCAAGGCCAGCCTGATCTACATAGTTCCAGGACAGGTGGGGCTACAGGGAGACTCTGTCTCAAAATGACCAAAATATATCATCTCATGTGCCATAAGTAACATCTTATTTGCCCATATTATTTCTTTTACTTCTCAACTGTACAGCTGATTTGTTCAAAACATGGTGCTAAGTACTGACTATAAAGAATGAGCAATTTACTTTGTCAAAAAATCAAAAAATGGCCCCCCAAATGCTTTTCTAAATGGATACTAACAGACCTGAATTTCTATCTTATTTCCAAACCTCTTCATTATATTTGTAGGTGACATCCATCATCTTCAAAAATGCTGCCCATTTAGAAAAAATGCTCTTGGTTCATCAAAGAACACAAGAATCTTGACTAGTTCAGTAAAGTGGGTTTCTCTTCACATCTAAATCTGAATCCTCAGCAATAACAATTCTAGCACTTCTGTAGCATGTGCTAAGAAAAGGTGCCTAAGTCACCACTAATCTCCCATATGGATTCCACAAATTAAGCAAAGAAGTGCAACAGCGGCAACTTAGCTAGAGCTTAGAGTGCAGAAGAATGTTGGGGAAAGGAGAGGCACAGCTGGATGAAACACTTCCATCCATGACAACGCATACATTCTAACATCCACTCAGCCCAGAAAGGCCTTCATATTCTGGAGAAATCACTGACAAGTCCATTGCATAGTTGTCAGAATGGCCTTGAAACTGTGTGTCTACAATGCCAGACCCCTGATCCACAGTAAATGCCATCAGTCATACCATGTTTGGTCTTCAGTGTACCAAGCAGCAAGCTAATGGAAATTCTCACTGTTCAACCCACCAACCATGGCACTATTGTCAACAAAGCATGCTTTAAGGCTATGGAAACTGTGGATCTAGGGACCTTGGAAATCAAGCATTTGAAAATTGTTTTGAATCTTTGGATGTTTCTTGACTGACACAAATCACAGACTAATTCTTTGATCAACACAATGAGTTTTGTCAGTAAATAATAGAAAAGCAGTTGACTTCCACTTAACCACTGTATAGAAATGGCCTCTGTTCTCTGGCTTCTTGTCAATAGGCTTTGTAATGTATCAAAGCTTAGGGTGTCACTTATCCTGTGTCTTTGTTGAGAACTCTGAATTCACGTCTTTAGAAAATCAAAAGACATCTTACTCAAACTAAATAAGAAAATCCATGTTCCTTGTCCCTTAAAACAACTCTGTGTCTTACTTCCCTCCACATGCAGGAACACTAACCAAACCTTCCTTGGAGACCAGCTCTGCTCAGGAGGCCAGGCTTACTTGAAGAGTTGAGACAGGAGACACCCTCAACATCTAGCCAGCAATTGCTTTACCTCAAATGCACCTTTTTCTTTGTGGTAGACTATGCCCAAAGTCTGTTGCAGGTGCCAGAGACTTCTGAAACAACCCTAAAGCGGATTTCTATTTGGGAACTGTGGCAGTAGGTCAAGAGAGTTTTAAGTCTGAGAATGTGCAAAGTATGATAGAGTAACATGCTTTGGAATCTAAAGAGACAGTAAAAGGACATCTACAATTGGAACTCAAAAAAAAAATAAAAGACCAGGTGCTACAGTGGAAAGATTCTGTCCACTAATCTCCAGATCCATCCTGTGAACTCTTATTGAAGACCTCATCCTGCGAAGCCTGGTGATCAATCCCTTCATAAAATGAGCCACCGTTGTGCAGAAAAGTCCCCACTGCCCGGCCCTGCCGGGCGTGACCCACAGCATCGCTGAACACTTTGTTTATCTGCTCCTCCGAGGGCATCCACCAATCGGGGTTGGAAGTACAGTGCATCCTAATGAATTCTGTAGGAAGACACACAACAGTTAAAAAGAGAGAGAGAACACAGCTGGTTTTGACAGAAGATGACAGGAAAGCTCCTTAAACATTAATAGATACTCTAACAAAAAAGCTGCATGTGAGTTCCAATGCAACACATAGCAATGTCACTTGTGACACCCAGTCCATTCCACACCAATGTTGTCACGTGCAAAAGCAAAAACCACCTAAGTGAGGGGACTCCCAGTAGGAAACATTCACTCTTGAAAAGAAAGGTAAGTCTGATTAGTAAGGCATGGCGTACATGCTGCCTACTGGAGTTAGGGAGTAGATTTAAAAACCTGTGCTATTACCTGCTTATATTGTAAGAAAGTAAACTATCCCTAGAAGAATGGCAAACATCATTAGTATGAATTCTTTAGCCAGTTACTGCCTTGGAGATGGAGTACAATAAACAACAGGGTCTTGATGAGTAAGAAAGTGTCTTTGCTCTAGCTCAGAGCTTTCCGTAGTCTTAAGACATGTGCACTTCTTCCTCTAGTGAACTACCTGGCTATTTTTTTTAATGCCACCTCATTTAAATATTTAATTTACCAGAAACCAATTAGCATACATGCATGCAAAAGGGAATCATTTTAGCTGCCTCAGTCAGTTTGATGTATTTTCCATTTAAGGGCTGAGTGGAAAGGAAGCATGAGGTGTGGCCCCAGATGAGGAATGTGCTGAAGACTGCAGACTTGGTTAGCTAGGCTCTGTGGATGGCATCTATGTGCCTGGAAAGCAGCAGTGCTCATGGCAGCAGCAGGGGCTCTCTGTAATCTATTTTAATCTCTTGGTTTGACTGACTTGTTTGTATTTACTTACTCACTTTTTGTGTGTGTAGTGTATGTGTACGTACATATTCACACATGCACATGTATGTATAGGTATATGTGCAGTGTGTAGCTAGAGGGTGTGATCATGTATCTTCCTCAACTGTTCTCCACCTTATTTTTTTTTAGAAAAGGTCTCTCACTGAACCTGGGCTCACTGATTGGCTAGAATGACTGGCTAGAGTTCCAGGGAACTGCCTGTCTCTGCCTCCTTAGCACTAGAATTAGATGCATGCCACTGTGTCCAGCTTTCACTTGTGTGCTGGGGATCTGAACTCAGATCTTCATGCTGGTACAGGAAGCACTTCACTAAACTACTGAGCCACCTCCCTAGCCCCTGACTCACTTTTAAAATGTCAAGTGTGACTATAGTTTCTGGAGAAGGGGTATAATTGGGATAGCTCTTACTAGCTCGACTCCTTATAAGTCAGGCAGCACACCAGTAAGAGGCCTAAGTCAACACTGCCTCTTGGTAAGCAATTCTATCATCTTTAATAATGGTGGGGAATAAAGGGAACTATGGCCAATTTGCTAAGTAGAATTTTCAGACAGGCCAACAAGAGATACAACACAGCATTAGTGTCTAGTTACTGCTGGTATTTCTCAGGTGGTTTCCTCAGGCCTGGGTCACTTGTATTAGTCTCACCTAGGGTGGTTGTGAGAGCCAGGCAAGTGCCACAAGTCACCTCCCTGAAAATCCATACTGAATAAGAATGTTTAGGGTAGGCTAAAGAAGTCCAGCTGCTAGAAAACACGATACATGCTCTTTAGGCAGCTGAGATTACAGAACTCAAGTGTCTAAGCAAGGGCTGCATTGGAGGGGACAGGGGTAGGGCAGGAATATGCTTTGCAATTATCAAAGTCTTCTCAATGATCCTTTAAAAAATGACTTTCTCATAGGGAAAAATTTGGATTCCTATCCAGACTAAATGAATGCTGTCATTCTAGTCAATAAGACTACTAAACTGTAGAAGGCCACACTTACGCTTTTTGCTGTGCATTTTCCAGATACAACAGTGTTCTCATGGCACTATGATGTTTCTATTTTTCTAAGTCTGTGTTTATGTGCACCTGTTCCATCAACTGTTAGCGCCCCAACTTTTGCCTGATCCTCAACTGTGGAGATCAAAGCAGTCATCTTAAATACTGATGGATTTGTATTATCTAAGCAGTATTTTTAACATAGAAACTTTTTTAACCAAAAAAAGAAAATAGTTTTATGGGTAAAGTATACTCTAGTATACTTTGAAGTATTCTTGATGGGCCCATGGAAACAAGAGACTATTTTACCCACTTTAAAAAAAATTACACATCTTCCTTCCCTGTGTGTATTTCTCTATGCTCTGGTTTTGCTGAAAGTCGCCTTCTCTGGCAGCAAAGAATATCTGAATTGAAAGCGTGAAACACGAGGTGCTATGCGATACTTTGTGCCATTAAGTGAGAACAACGAGGCTAAAGCAAAGAAAGAATCTTTCACAGAGCTTCTCATACCAAGTGGATGGGTCACACGAAGCTTATAAGGTCTTGGTGCAAAGATTATAAAAAAAAAAAAAAAGAAAGAAAGAAAGAAAAAGAAAAATAAGTAACAGCTGAACACTTGTGCAGGGAGCCACAGCCAATGCAGTGAAATGGGATCACGGATGGTGGACACTGAGTGGAAGGATGCAGTACCTCGGAGGCATGTGACTTTAACTGGATCCAGAGGGCGTCTTTCAGGACCTGTCTCTCCTGACTGCACTGACCTTTTCCTTTTCCCAAGGCCGCATGAGTACTTAAGCTCATCGGTTGTGAAAACAAATCTGATGAGGTATCGCAGGAGCCGTCTCCCATCTTTCTTGGAAGAATTTACAGCCTCATCCCACTGTTTGCTTGTTATGTAGACAGGATAGTTGTTCAACAGCTGCTTGCTTCCCTGGAAAAGCAAAATATTTTCTCATTACCTACCTACTGAGGCAACCAGCCAGAAGCCAAAGCCATTCCCATTTCAAAGGTAAACATACTTTTTAACCAAGTGGCTATGCTCACAATGAACCAGGTATTCGAGAGCACAAGTAATTGCTTACACTTAGAACGGGCACTTTTCAAATTACATTTGCATTTTCTATAACAAGAGCCAATGAGATATAATGAACACCTCTGAAAGAGAAGCTATTTATAACTTGCATTTTAACAGGTAGGTTAAAATGTGTCAAGATCCAATGACAAGGAACACTCTTTAAATATAACCTGTAACTTTCCTTTTCAATCTATTAAAATATGCAAAAATGACTTTGAAGAATGTGATCAAACAAGTCCCTTCATCCTTTGGCTGGCAGTTAAGTCCTAGAGAAATGATGTTGGTGGTGGTCTACTTCAACAGGTGTTAACTTGTGTTTAAGGCACCAAACACCTTATTGTCATTGCCTTACAGTGGAAACAACATTAAAGAGTGAATTTTAAAAGGGAGTATTGTGGAAACTGGAAAAAAAAAAAGAAATACAAAACAGGTTTCCTCAAATTATAGCTCCTACAAATGCCACCATGTCACTTCAAATTTTTTCTTACTTTTCACCTTCATAATTTATGTCTGCTATAAAATTCCCAGGCTGAATAGCTGCAGAGGGACTAATTACAGGAATTTCTGTAACATTTATAAGCCATGTTTAGTCAACTGCACCTATGCAACCATTACTTTAGTTCTGGCTGCCATAAAATTCTATAGTCTAGGACAAATTAATTAACCCGTGATCTCAGTTTTAATGTACTCCTTCCCTAGTAATTAAGGTATACAAAATAAAGAAGGGAAAACTCATTCAGTTTTACAACTCTACAAATTTACTACAGGCTATAAATTTGGCACTGTTTGGTTCGGACAGGGTTTTATTTCAAAAAGTGCTCTGCTTAAACATGGAAAAGGTAAATGGTATAGAAACTAGAAGGGCAGAGGGGCACCAGACTTGCCTAGGCAGCAGTTACTAACTAGAATACACTTTACTGTTGTGTACCTTGGTTTCCTTTTTTTTTTTTTTTTTTTTTTAAACAGTGTCTCCCTGTAGCCCCAGCTGGCCTGGAACTCCCTATGTAGACCAGGCTGGCCTTGAACTCAAAGAGATTTACTGGCTTCTGCTTCCCAGGTGCTGGGATTAAAGCATGCACCACCACACCAGGCTAGGTTTCTTTTCTTAAGAAAGGCACTTGAAGCTATGGTTTGTGCTTTAGATTTAGAGGCAAGCGAGCTTTAAAATGAAATCTGATGGAGTGAAGGTCCCCCATCTGCAAAACATGGGAATTATATTATACTGGGCTTATGTAGTAAATGTGTGGTAGCATACATAACCCTTGGCTCTGGGACCTTTACATGGTAGGTGCCAAGAGTAAAGTATGAGTGACATCTCTGTCAGAGCATGGAGAAGAGGGAAAAGAGATGTAGAAACTAGGGAGTCAGGCCCATGCAGTGGAAGACTGAGGAGAATTGATTCTTAAGTAAAATGCTGATGTGTTGCACAACAAACATTACAGAAGAATGGCTGGGAAGAGTAGACACATCAGGGAAAATGATCGACTGTTTCGCAGAGGGAGAAGAAAGGGCATCATCACAGGTCTTTAGTGATTGATCTCTCACTCAGGATAGTGGGTGGAGCCAGGGGGAGTAAAATCCAAGCGGGTAGGCTAAGAACCACTAACTGTGTCAAAAGCACTTTTGTGGAAGAACTTTAATAATAGCTGTCGATATGTATTAATCAATTAATGAGGGACTTGACTAGGTAGTGGTGCCAGTACAATTACAAAGCTGGGCCCTAGGTTCAGCCCAGGGAAAAAACTAACCTCTCAACTTCAGTACCTTTCTGTCAAAATAGGGCTAAAGATCCCAGAGGTTCAGCGGCTCATATCTGTAACCCCAGCATACTCTGGAGTCATGAGGCAACAGGACTGCCAGAGTTCAAGGCCAGTTTCAGGTATAACAGTGAGTTGGAATATATATAGTGAGACTGTTTCAAAAGATGGTAAAACAAAGCAGCAACTCAGACTCACAGTTTTTGTTAAGGTGTCAGTCTCCTACCAAAGAGCTCTAGAGGGCAGGATTTATATGCTTTATATAACCTGCTCCCAGGGCCCAAGACATAGCAGCAGGTGCAACACATTTGTCATGACTGATGCAGTGCAACACTTACTAACATGACAGGTACAAAGCAGACACTCAGCAAAGGTGGTTGCAGTTAAGAATTTAAGACTATCCTCTTACTTACGGTCCCTGTACATACACTCAGCAACCTTAGGAGAATGACCAGCTATTTCTTCAATTGTTTCTCAAAAATGTATGATAATAATTAAAAAATACCTGTTTCCTTGGGGTTACAGTGCTTACCTGCAAGAAGGTTTATAGCTCTGTTTTACTACCATTATATCCTTTCTAAGGGGTTACAACTCCAAGGGAGGAGGGAGGGAGGCAGGCTGGAGAGCCTTGCCCCAAGTTTTTCATTTACTTTTCGATACTGAGCTGTGCTCCAAAATGTGTCTATTTCAGGATTAGGGTGTTTGTGACTAGGGAGCTGACAATCCAAAACAGGTGCTTTCTCAAATCCTTAAGAAAATCATAGCAGAGTCCTGCATAATTCCAAAAATGCAGCAGCTCAACATAAACTATGGGTCTCATAAAATGTAGAAATACCATTTGGAGGTAATTTTCATCAAGAAACAGGAAAGGAAAGAGAGTAAGTAATTTACAGCCCAAAACACAACTCAGAATGCCCTGTGGGTTATGGATGAGAGTTATAATTCTGTTTTAGCACATTTAATAGAAGTAAAATGTGATAAATAATAAAAATGAAAAGATTCTCATGTGCCTGAAATGACAAAATAGTAATGATGATGGGTAATAAAAGCAGTCCTAGCTAAGGGAAATACAGACAGTTTTCCTGTATATATATATTTGTGGGTACATGGTTATGGTGCATGTTTGTACGTCTGCACATGGAAGTCAGAGGTTGATGTTGTCTACCTTCTTTAAATGACTCGCCACCTTTTTTTTTTTTAATCTTACTTTAAAAAAAAAGATTTATTTTATTTTTAACTATGTGTATGTGTGTGCCTGTTGGTGGGTATGTACACATTGAGAGCAGGTGCCCAAGGAGGCAAGAGGTGTTGGATTCTCCTGGTGCTGGAGTTACAGATGATTGTGAGATGCCCAACCTGGGTGCAGAGAACCAAACGTGGATTTTCTGCAAGAGCAGTATGTACTCTTACCTGCTGAGTCATCTCTCCAGCCCTTTACCTTAATTTCTGAGACTGGGTCTCTAACTGGACCTGGATCTTACTGACTGGACAAGCTGTCTGGTTATCAAGCCTTAGGAATCTGCTTGTCTCTGCCTCCCCAGTGCTGGGATTATAGGTGCATGCCACCACGCCTAGAGGCACATGCAGGTGCTGGAAAGCCAAACAAGTCCTCTTTCTTGCATGGCAAACACTTGCACTTTACCAACTGAGGCATTTCCCTGGTCCTTCTTTCTATTTTTTATGGAACCGATTCTGCAGCCTTTTCAATTAGCCACCAATAGGTTATTAAACTTAAGCTACTGTTGAGTCACTCTGAAACACCAACATGAATAACCATCAATGTCTTCAAACACTCATAACCAAATGGAAGACATGGGTGTAGATTTACTACAAAGTTAAGTTGGCTGATTCTGAATTAGACTTACAACGTGCTGCAAGAGCACCAGGCAGAGGATGGGAAATCAGAGCCGCTTCCTGGAAGAAGTACATTCATTTCACAAAACGTCAAGATTAACAAATGTGGACTTCAATCTAGGGAGAATTAATGGATTTTAATTAAGTCTGGATCTTTAATTTAAAAAGATAACTTTTCATGGTGGAGAATAAAAAGAGGTGAAAAGTGGCCAAGAGTAACCAGAAGAGAGGAGACAATTAACATGGGATGTTGAGACTAAGAAGAAATCAGTGATCTTGCAGGAACTTCTGCCTGGGTTTGGTGAGGCTTTTACAAAAGGGAAAGTGCAACCATGGGGGTTCAGAGTAGGAGCATGGACGGTAAGAGGGGGTATGGGTACTCCACTTACCAAGCAGTTAGCTGTGACGTGGAGCTGAGCTGTGGAGACTTCTTAACCTTCACAAGGTAGGTGTTAGGGGGATGACTGTTAACTGATCAGAGACATCAGAAAGCAGATAAAGTGAAGGAAGCAACTATGGGAACAATGGATGTAAAATTCATGAGTTTGAAATGAAAGAAGGAGGGGGAGCCAGAAGACAGCAGAGACACAAAGGCCAAAGGGGGAATGAAGGCCTAGGGGATCAGGCTGGGGAAGGGCTCCTGGCCCAGACAACCAGCAAAGGTGTCAGGGGCTTCATTCAGAGCACTGGGAGTAGTGAAGGTAGTGAGAATTCAGGATGGAAAAGTTAATGAAAACCAAAGAGAGTAGAGATAAGACATACAGGTCAATCTTACAAGTGTTTAGTTGTGTAAAAAAAAAAAAATGAGCCATAGCCAGGTGTGGTAGCACACGCCTTTAGTCCCAGCACTGGGGAGGCAGAAGCAGGTGGATCTCTGTGTTCAAGGCCAGCCTGGTCTACATAGTGAGTTCCACAGTGAGTTCCCCCTGTCTCAAAAAAAGTCATTATTTGGAAATCACAAACTGAGAACCTTCTAGAACAGGCACTGGGGCACTAATGGGGATGAGAGCTAAGCTCAAGAGCAATGTGTAATGTGTGTGCAAAGGTGCTTATGGGTACATACTGTAATGGTAAAGGAAGGACAGTACCAGAGGAAGGGACACTCAGTGTCATGTTCTAAAGTCTGAAAATTTAAGATAACACTCAACAATGAACTCTGAAAATCCTGTAATAATATAACTGATTAATATACCACTAGCATCAAAAGATATCATTTGTTCTATACAGTGGGAGACTGGTTTCTTTTACTGTAGTTCAGAGAAAGAAACAGCCTGTGTGCAGTAGCCCTGGAGTCTAGGAAATATTCTCTAAACCATGGAGAATGTCAGTGTTAGAGATGCCCAGAGAGAGGCAGGGGTATACTAGGGCTCTGGCTGAGAGCATGGCAGGTTGGAATCTCCATTTCAGGCCTTTACTGTGCCACAGGAATAGAGGAAGACTTGTTCATGGTATTTAAGTTGCTATTTCCTCTTTTTCTCCCACCTATGAGTACAGAATTGAACCTTTGTAAATGAAAACCACACATGATCTTTCTTCACAATATGCACCTACAGGTAACAGACCCATAAACTTCCCACAGTCAGCAGTGTATTTGGCCAGCCGGTCTGTTTGGGAAGAGACTGGAATTTTATTAGCAGGCTCCATCTGAGGGGAATTCTACTTGCAACTGTGCCCCTCTTCCAGAGGCCTGAGCCTACCTCAGTGGACTGGTCGGCAGGTTGCGGCAGCAGAAGCTGGTTGTGGTATTGCAGCACAGTTTTCAGGTAATCCAGGACGGTCTGGCAGGGCACTGTGGGGAGAAACAGCAGTAGTTACACATCAGCTAGCCCTTAATACCAAGATAAAAACCTTTGGGGGGTGGTCTAAGAAGATCATTGGTGTGAACTTAAAAAAAAAAATTATTCTGAAGTCAAGAAATGTTTTTTCACTTGACATCTGTAGTTATTTCAGGTTATAAATACAGAACAGTTGCTACAATATGGGGATTATTTTTAAGATCAGTATAATTTTATGAAAACTTTGAAGTCCAACTTTAAGATTAATTCGGGTCAACAAAAATGATCACAAACATTTCACAGGAAATAGAGGTCCTCTGTGACTGCAGTCTGGCTTGCAGTCCTGGTGATTCTTTTCGAAACTGGAGTACTAGGATGATGTTTCTCTGGTTTTCAGTCATATAGCACATACTGTAGTCTGGACATAGTTCATTTGCATGCTGGTAGCTTGATACCTAGTGCTGACATTGATGGAAGGTGAGGCCTTTGAGAAGGTCCTTCGGCAAGCTGAATGAGTTAGCTCCAGAGAGGAGCTGTTCCAAGAGCAAGTCTGGTCCCTCCCTGTGTTCTGACTTCCTGTCTCACTATCACTTAGTCACTTCCTCTCATACTTGTTTCTTCCATGATGCCATCTGCTATGGGCCTGTGCTAGAGACAGCACCATGTTGTTGGACTCTTAAGTCTTCAAAACTATATATTATATATATTTTTCTCTGCTACCCAGCCTAAAGTATTTCATTATAGTAACAGAAAATGGATCAACACTTGATTTTTTTTTAAAATATATATATTTCTCTTTTTGTTAGAACATTTATTTTCTTTAAAAATCTCAAGTATACTTTTTTAACTTTTACAAAAACTTTATTGAGGAGCTGGAGAGATGGCTCAGAGGTTAAGAGCACTGACTGCTCTTACAGAGGACCTGGGTTCAATTCCCAGTCCTTAACTCCAGTTCCAGAGGAATCCGAAGCCCTCTTCTGATCTCTGTAGCATTGCACGACACAGGTACACTCACATACATGCAAGCAATATACTCATACACATAAAATAAAAACAAAAAACCCCAAAAAACTTTATTGAGAATTTCATACATGCATATAAGGTGTACTGATCAAATCCATGCCCACTCCCTCCCCTCCAACAATCCCCCCTCTGAAGAGGTAACCCTAAAATCATTAAAAAAATATATATCTATATCTATATTTTATTTTGTAGAAGAAGCATTTCATTATAGCTTTAGCATACTCAATAACAGTTTCCAGAGCAAAGATGCATCTCTTTCAAAAGTGGCTAAAAATTTTTTAGGTTCGCTGTTGAATTAATACAGTTATGCAATATTGAACAGTATAAACCCTGTAAGATGTAAAATTGAATGAATTTTTGACCTTTAAAAAAGATCTACATTTCATTTTAAAATATACTGTTTCTTACAGAAAGACTCATTATTTTTGCTAATAACACTTAGATGTTTGCACATGCATCTCTAATCTCTATGTATCTGATTATTGCTAGTCACAGTTGGTTACTTTCTGAGCTCCTTGGCATCTGAGCATGGATATAAAGTCATCAGGTAGATTTCAATGGTAATGTTT